TGACTCTTTTGGAGAAGTCTTTGGAAGCACATAAAAATTTAATTTTTAGAAGGTCCCAATCATCACATAATACTTTTTTGAGACCCAAATGATTCCTTTTCTATCAATATAGTAATTAATTCTGGATTATCCCAGTAGTAAAAAGCCATATTAGCTCATGAAAATCCTGGAAGTTTGCCCAATTAGATGATGACGACAATCCCATTTCCCCTGTCAAAACAGTTATCTCAGAGCTTCCATCTTTTACCATGTATCTCAATGGTAACAGCAAGAGGAGAAAGATGACAATCGCTCAGAGTTTGGGTCCTGGAGTCAAATTCCAACTCTGCTATATGACCTTAGGCAAGTGTTTAAACCTCTAAGAATCTCCCCATTTATTCACTAGAGATAACAAGAGTATCTGTGTATTCTCAAAGGTTGTGAAAATTGAGATAATGCAGCTAGCATTCAATAAATGTTAGTGATTACTGCATTTGACAGGGAATGATATGATAAAAAAACCAAAACAATAAGAAATATTCTTTACAAAAGAGGCCCAGTGTAGATTATAAAATAATACAACCTAATACAACCACAGTGGAAAACAGTTGAGTGGTTCCTCAAAAATTTAAATATAGAATTACCATGTTATGTACTGTCAAGTTGATTCCAACTTATAGTGACCCTGTAATACAGAGCAGGACTACACCAGAGGGTTCCCTAGGCTGTAATCTTTACAGGGGCAAACCACCAGGTCTTTTCTCCTGTGGAATGGCTGGTGGGTCTGAACCACCAACATTTCACTTAGCAGTTGAGTGCTTAACCATCACACCACCAGAGCTCCTTAGAATTACCAGCAATTTCACTTCTAGGTATAAAAAAACAAAACCAAACTCACTGTCATCCAGTTGATTCCAACTCATAGTGACCTTGTTTAGGTTTCCAAGGTGGTAACTCTTTATGGAAGTAGATTATTGAAAAGCAGGAATGCAAACATATACTTGTACACCAATGTTCATTAAAGCACTATTCATAACAGCCAAATAGTGGAAACATCCTAAATGTCCACCATTAGATGAATGGGTAAATATGTACATACAGACCCAAATCAAACCAAACCCAGTGCTGCTGAGCTGACTGTAACTTATGACGACCCTACAGCACAGATCAGAACTGCCCCGTAGGGTTTCCAAGGCTGTAATCTTTATAGAAGCACTGCCACGTCTTTCTCCTGTGGAGTAAGTGGTGGATTCAAACTGCCAGTGTTTTTTTGGTTAACAGCCAAGTGCTTTAACCACTGAGCCACCAGGGCTCCTTTACATACATACAATGGAATATTAAATATTATTCAGACATAAAGAGAAATGACCCCGATACATGCTACAGTATGGATGAAATTTGAGAACAACATTTGCTGAGTGAAATGAATCTATCCGAAAAAGACAAACGGTTTCACTTACATGAAATATCTAGGATAGGTAAGTGTATAGGATCGAGGGAGGAGAAAAGGGGGACTCACTGCTTAAGGAATACTGAGCTTCTGTTGAAGATGATAGGACAATTTGGAAATGGATAATGGTGATAGTTGAACAATATAAACATAACTAATGTCACCACCACACATCTGTTTCTTTTACTGTGGTAGCCTGCATGCTGCTGTGATGCTAGAAGCTATGCCACTGGTATTTCAAATACTAGCAGGGTCCCATGGTTTCAGCAGCATTTCTAGTGTAAGAGAGACTAGGAAGGAAGACCTGGTGATCCACTTCTGAAAAAATTGGCCAGTAAAAACTTTATGAATAGCAGTGGAACACTGTCTGATATAGTGCTGGAAGATTAAGCGTCTCAGGTTGGA